GATGTACAGTTCCATGATTTTACCGGGGACTTCTCACTTATTGATAGTTCATTGCCAATGCACACCATATCTCACTTAATAGAGTTGGCCTTCTGTATCAGCTGGCTCTGTGTCTGCAAATTCAACCAACTGCAGATGAAAGATGTCAGAAAAAAATAACTGCCTCTGTTCCAAACCCGTACAGAGCTTTTTCAGTCATTTTGGTACTCCCTAAGCAATACTGCGGGCAGCTATGAATGTAGCATTTACACCGTGCTAGGTTTCACCAGGCTTCTAAAGGTGATTTAAAGAACCTGGAGGACCGATATGGGTTATATGCAGACACCATGCCATTTCATAGAATGGGCTCAAGCGCCTTGGGGTTTTGGCATTCAGAAGGGCAGGGAGAAGGTGGTCCTGGAACCAAGCTCCCAAGGATACCAGGTGTTATGGATTAAAAACTGGTGGTCATTTTAATGCCAGCTGGATTACATCAGCATGGTGCTGAGTGTAGATGTCCCACCTGAGGAAAGTCCCCAACATAAATAGAGATGTAGAGAAGGAGAAGCAATGCGTTGAGATGCATTGAGGTGTTGGGGCATTGTGGGTTCTCCTACGTGTTGCTGTTTGAGCCATTGGTTCTCCTGGAGAAGCTCTGATCCTCACATTGAGCATTGCTTCCTGGCTCTGGAGAGGAAGACGTGTGCCACTTGGTCTCCAGAATGAGCTCGTCACGCAGGCTTCCTGGCATGTACCCGACTGTGTTTGTCATCGGAGGAGCTCCAGGCCTCCATGTTGCTGAGGATGGCTGTGGTGCTTTTCAGGACAGCCCTGGTGTTTGTTGTGAGTGTGACTTCTCAGCTACAGCATAGAACCCTCATCCCACCAGCACAGCTCCTTCACCCTGCTGGCATGGACTTTCTGACTTCCATCACTGACCTTTGGGCTTCCTGGCATGGATCCGTAAAAGAGACTGGCGTGATTCCTTCTTGTGGGCTCTGGACCTCCAGTTGGACTCATAGGAGGCATTGTCCTGAGCTCTGGGTTTTCATCTGGACTCATGTGGGACATTGCTGTGGGATTCAGGCCCTTGGCTGAATATTCTATGTCTTTAGTGTTGTGGATAGATTTCCTGCAGTTTCTTGTGTTAACTCTGGGTGACCATCATAAAAATAATATTATAACTACATGTCCTGATTCTAATTGTTCTCTGCACAACCCCTGACCATAACAGACGGCAAGGCAGGAGGATCACAATTTCAAGCCCAGCCTAGACAGTTAAGTAAGATCTTGTCTCAAAATAAAAACAAATAGGGCTGGGGGTGTAGCTCAGTGCTAAGGCTCTGGGTTTAATCTTCGTTACTTAAAAATAAATATAAAATTTAGAGAAACCTCTTCCACTATCCTCTTTTTTTTTAAATACCCTCTTGCCAGTGTTGCCTTCTTAACATTTAAAACAATATACCTTATTTAATAAGTGAAAAGTGGAACTTGTTACCACAAATCCAGAGGGAGGACAAGGCATGTGAGAACAGTAGGAAGTCGAGTCAGTATAAATAAAGCTTGTGTTTCAAAGGATCAGGTTCATTTATTTAACAGACACAGTTATTTGACCAATAAAGGCTGAGCCCTAAGAAAAATATTCCTGGCTACTCTACAAACTTAATCTCAAAAGTTTTATTTACATAAGTCTATGAAAAGCAAATGAGAGAAATGGATTTTATAGTTCAGAATGTTTTTTCTGATAACACTAGCAGGTTTCTTCTTGTCTGATCCTAGACAGAATGAAAAACAGGCTCTTTGGGTACTTGTGGATTGAGGGTAGACTCACGGACCCATCTCCCCCATAAGTGTCCTTCCAGCACCCTGCCACACAGAAAAAATGATCACAGCAGTAACAGGAATAGAACCAAATCCTGCTGGATATGGTCATGCACTCCTATAATCCCAACATTCAGGAGGCTGAGGCAGGAGGATCACTGTGAATTCAAGGCTGGCCGGGGCTAACAACAAGACCCTGTCTAAGAAAAAAAAAGTCAGAATTCACTCCAGTAGTTTCTTAACTACTGAACTACTGAAAATGAAAGTAGACTAGACAGCAGATCAAATAAGCAAATTGTATGTGAGAAGCCCAAGTATTATTTAGTGAAACTTCTGTTCACTTTGCGTGTATCGTAGAGGGAGACAGATGATGCAGTCCAGTTCCCTGTGAGTTGCCGTCTACACCGCAAACCACCAGCCTGGGCTGCCAACATCACTGGAGAGTGGGTCTCAGCTGGTAAAGATGCTCACAGATGCTCAGTCCGGCAAGGCTAGCGTGAGAGCAAAGTTCTCACCCCCAGGCCAGCCTCTGTGTGATTTGGTGGTGGCCTGAGACTAGTGTTAGAGGAAAAGGGGAAGCGGGCTTCCTAGCGGTTTCTGGGGAGCAGAAGGAGCAAGCAGGGGTCGGCTAGGGGCAGACAGCAGTCTGCACGGATCTTTATTCCACACTTGAATAGCGAGGACCACGCCCAGCCTTGCCAGGTCTTTCTGTGCCTCGGGTTCTTTGCAGCATGACAGCAAAGTAGAAAACACCTTGGTTTATGTACTCCCGGCTTGCGCTTCTTACTTTGCTGGGAAGGTAACAACCCTTTTTAGTTTTTGAGACAGTCTTCCTCAGGTGCCTAGTTGCGATTCAAATTTGGGATTCTCGTGCCTCAGCCTCAGTGACGAGATAATAGGTGTGCACCACCACGCCCGGCTAATAAATGTAATATTTTAATGCCCTATCATGGTTAATACTTAACTATAAATGTGTTTGAGACCTGTCATCAAGTGGAAAACGTTAGAAGTTGAGATTTGGAATGTCAGTAGCAGATGTATATTTGTTTGAAAGATAAGGAATCATTAACAATTAATGTCATGATCGATCTTTGGAATAAAAGGGTGATCAATATTAATGAGGAAGAAAAATGTCTTTTCAAAAATGTTTCCACTTAAATATTGAGTTGTTTTGTCATGAGAATGTTTTATTCACACTCTCTGACTTAGCGATTTACTGCTGATAAATGTCACACGCCTCAGCTAGTCTTGTTGATCCAAGTGAAATAAACCAAATTCTCTTTTCCAGTCCCCCTACCCCTGACCCCAACTTAATCAAGCCAAATTGTAATCTAAATTTTTTAATGTGTGTTAAGAGTAAAACAAGGATGCTTCTTTTTAGATAGGCAGGCACTAAAATAACTGTATGACTTTAAAGTATTTTTGCTGAATATTTTCCTTGACTACAAGAGAAGACTGTTGCCTCCCAGAGCTGGGGTTAAAGATCCTTTTTCTATTTATAGGAAAGACTGCAGTAAACTTTAATTTTAGTTAGGAAACTTGGGTACGATTCTGGATTTAGATCATCATAGAACTGTCACATGCCCACAGGGTAAGGGAGAAGAGCTGTTTCTCTTCTGAACATGCAAGCAGGCTTGCAAGGGTTTCTGAAGTGGCGAAGTTCTTTCAAAGGCCCAGTGCCGCCTCATTGCCTTCAAAGCGCTGGTCTTACCCACATTTCCTTTCTTCTTGGAAAAAGTAACCACATCTTAAGTCATTTTTTTCTCACCAGTATGTGAATTGGCTTTTCTTATTTGCTCCTTTGACAAATTACCACTGACTTAGTTGGAACAACCCAAGTGTCTTGTCTTATAGTGACAAGGTTAGGACTCTGAGCTGGGCCCTGGGAATCACCTTGAACCCCAAATTCTGATTTAGAAGATTCTCCCTATTTGGAGCCCAGTGGATAAACAACCTCCATTCTCCCTGCCAGCCCTGCAGTGTGGCCGATTCTTGGGTTCCAGGGATCAGCATGGGGGCATCCGTGTCCACAAGCGTGCGAGTCAGGGTGTGGGGACCTTATTCTGCCTGCTGTGTGGGGGTGTCCTACCAGTGTGAGGAAGAACCTCCCGCAGGACTGTGGCAATATGAGTCTGGATGGTTATGTACTGTCGTTACCTCAGTTAGGCTCATTAGTCACTGGGGGAAAGTGAGCAACTCTTACGAGGCAAAGGATTCCTCTTTCAGTTGCCCTGTTACTCCCTTAGAGCACACTCCTTTGCCAGTAGTGATTTTCGTCATGATCTTGTTGTAACTAGCCTGTACAGCCAGGCCCAGGCCTGTAGTCTCAGTGCTCTAGGAGGCTGAGGCAGCAGGATCCCAAGCTTAAGCCCAGTCTGGAGCAAGTTAGTAACTTACAGAAACCCTATCCTCAAAATAAAAACCTTGAAAAGGGCTCAGGATGCAGCCAAGGGCTGATGTTCTGAGTTCAATCCCTAGTTCTGCAAACAAATAGCATAAAACAAAAAACTGACCTTCCCAGAACTTACCAAGCCCGAGAGAGTGGGCTGAGTGGGCACGGCCCTGTGTCTGTTGGATGGAGTGATTTGCCCCCTGCCCTATGCACAGGGTCTGCTGGGATTCTAATCGTCACAGCTAATGGGTGGGCAGAGGCCAGGGAGTGCTGCCAGCCACCCCAGGTGCGCACGATAGCCCCCTCTGCCAGAGCTGCCCATCCCAGAGCTTCAGCAGTGCCAAGATGGGCAGACCCCATTTTGAACTGGGCCCTTTTTTGTTTTTGAGGTTAATGCTTTACAATCATGAGAATTAGATGTTGTACTAGTAACTGGTTCGTGATTTGATGTTAGCATGCTGATCAGAATGGGATTGATGTGTTGTTGAATTAGATGTTATATCATTCAGGTAATTCAGCAAATCATGTTTGGACAGAAGATCAGTTGGAGTTTGGCATGGTTCTACTGTACCTATAGTTCAAGCTAATCAGGAGGTTGAGGCAGGAGGATCATGAGAGCCCAGGAGTTTCAGTCTAGCCTGTGCAACCCAGCATGACTTTATCTCGGAAAACAAAACAAAAGCCAAAAGCCAAGTTGGAGGAGACAAGATAGGTGGACAGTGCTCGCTGATCTGTGTGAAACAAAGTGGTGAAGCGAAGCATGGCTTCCAGACTTCCTGATTCTCATGTCTCCTTATCACTGTTGCAGGCGTCCCTGGCTCTATGCCCAACGCGTCCTGGACGGGAAACCTTCGAGCCGTGAAGTGGATCGACATGGAAGATAAACACGGAGGCTGCCACGGTGAGGCCTTAGTTCACACATGTAGGCCATAGCACTCTCTGGTCGGAGAGTAGCTGTGCCCCACGGGTGCGTCATGGAGGGGGACCCTGGCTGGGTTTAACTCACCATCACGTCAGGCAGGTAAGGCAAGCACAGGCCGACTGTGGCTGGCCTTTCTGCTCTCTAGTTTTCAAGGCTGGTTATTTTCCAGCTGGGTCTTCTCTTCAAGGAAACACAGTAGGCACCACACAGAGAGGACAGGCTTGAAGACAAACAAGTCTCTTGATGACAGGTTTCAGGAATCCACGGACATTCCCCAGGTTAGAATTACCCAGGGACCTGCAGAAGCCTTGTTCTCCCCAGAGAGCAGCCGGTCCTCGTCCCCCACATCAGCTCTGCCCCCTCCCCTCCCCCCAGGACAGGGCTAGAGAGCTGTGGGTGATTGCCCAGCGCTGGCACAGTGGTGGGTCTCTTCCAAATGGGCCACCTGGAAGCCCGGGGGCGTCTCCATGTCTGTGGAACCCTGTCTGTGGAGGGTCTCGTGGCAGTCCTGGCACTCCTGTTCCAGGGCTCGGCCTGGCATGAGGCTACTGAGCTGCCATCACAACGCAGCAGACAGGAAGTCAGCGATCTCCATGTCCTGGGACCTGGGAGGCCATGACCAAGCGCCAGCAGAGCCAGCTCTTTGTGTGGCTTCCCTGTTGGATCACAAACGGCCATCTTCTCCCCAGGTCTTTGTGTGGCCTTTCCACTATCTGTCCAGATGCCTCCTCTAGAAGGTTGCACCCCAATGGCCTCCTTTTACCATAATTACCAGTTTAATGACCCCAGCTCCACCGTGAGGTGCGAGGCATCAGGATTCAGTGTGGGAATTTGGAGGGGCATACAACTGAGCCCCTAGCAGTATGCAGTAAACATCTACTCAGGGAGGGAAAGGATGAATGAGAATATGGCGATTTCTCCTCCGCCCACAGTAAAAACACTTTGCTTCTATGCTCCAACCTGGGGCTTTGCTCGCTCATTTATCTTACTGTGCACGTGCCCAGCTTCCCACTTCTCTGCAACTCCCCATATACCCGGCCTGTTTCCCAGAGCCAGAGCCCCTTGGAGTGCCTCCCCGCTTTTGCGGTCTCCGCGTCCAGCCCCTACCCCCATAGAGGAGGAGCGGGGCGCCCTGCCAGCCTGTGTTCCTGTGGGGACCCTGACTGATCATGTGACAGAGGGGGTCAGGGAGTTGGCCTTTGCCAGGGAGCTCCTTAAGCGTGCAGGCCAAGTGGCCCAAGCTTCTCTCTTGTTCTCCTTCTTCATCACCTGGTATGCCAGTAAGTGTTTAAAAGCTGACGGTGAGCGGGGCACAGGAAGTTCCCGCCAAACCACTGTGCAGGGAAAAGAAAAAGCAGAATCCACAGGCGGCGGAGCACTGTGGGCACCGCAGTGACTCAGTAGCACAGGGTCCGTCTGGTTACGCTGTGCTGGTCCTGCAGTCTCCTGGCCTGGAAATCCTGCAAAGCGCTGCAGAATTGATCCATTAAAGTCAGTTTCGTCCTTTGACTGTTTTGTTGAAAAGTCTCCAAGGATCCGTTGCATCCAAAGGATAAAAGATGGAACTCTTTCTTCCCTGTTGGTCGCCCAGGACAGCCCTGGGAATAGTCCAGCCTCCTGCCCGTGTGCCGTCCCACCTCCAGCCGCGTTCCTTAGTCCTGCCGGAGGTGCTCACCTCTGCACGTCTTCCTTCCTTCCGTCCACCCACTGCCCTCCTCCTGGTCTGTTGAGTTCTCTGCCCATACTCTGTCCTTCACTCAGCCCCAGAGGCAAAGAATGCAGATGTGAACGAAACCCTGTGAAATCCCAGTTCAGGGATTATAGTCCTGGCTGAGAGCAAAACAAAAAATAACTGGAGAAAAAAGAGAGAGGAGAGGGGGAAAGGGAGATGGACGGGGGGAGAGGGAGAGAGAGAGAAAAAAGGGAAAATGAACAAAATGATGTTCCTATGCAGCCCTGGTGCAAGTTCCTATGCACCCAAAGAGGAAGAGGGCAGTGCGGGCAGGGAAGGGGACCCTGAAGCAGAGACTGGGGCTGTGCTGGGGAGTCCCCCGGATGCCGGGCTGCCCAGAGCAAGAGCACTGGGACCGGTAGCCCATGTGACCCGAGTCCCACATGGCATGGCGGAGCGAGTAACTGGGCACAGGGATGGGGATGGGGAGCCCGGGCAGAGGCGGGCTCTGAATGGGCGGAGGCTGAGGAGCCTTGGGTGCCTGTTAACAGCTGGAGACCGGCCCATGACACTTGAAAATCATCTCTCTGGCCTTCTAGCAGGGCTGAGGAGGAAGCAGGGGAGCCCCAGAGGGCACCATTCACACTGGGACTGGGGTGGCTTGGAGCAGGGTGAGAGGACTCAGACTTGCCCACGGCACATGTTGAAGGCTGGCTGTGAGATGGAATCGCCCATAACCAGGAAGCAGGGAAGTGCCAGGACACTGGAGAGCACGGCGACTTGTAGGCATGGGATCCTTGGGGAAGGCGGACGTTTGGGGCTAACGTTGGAAAGGCACATCCCACAACAAAGGGGAGGCCCAGGCCTGCTCTCCGGAATTGGGATTCTCCTTCTCCCACACAGGACTGCCTGGTGATGTCTGCTATGCTATGTCCTTACATTGTTGTTGCTGCTGGTTTTTGAGGCAGAACCTTGCTGTGTAGTCAAGGCTGGCCCTGAACTCATGGCAGCTTTGCTGCCTCAGCTCCCAAGTGCCAGGCATACAGGCCTGTGCCACCATGCCTAGCTTCCTTTTTTTTTTTTTTTTTTTTTTTTTTTTTTTTGTCTTTTTCCTTTTTATCAGTACCAGGGATCGAACTCACGACTGCCTGCTTACAAGGCAGGTGCTTATGCCGCTGAGCTAAATCCCCAGCCCCCAACCCAGCTTCCTTTTACTGTCTAACTCTCTTCTTACTCAAACATGTTACTGTCCCTCTTGTCCTCCAGAGTGGAGCTCGGGTTCCCCAGGGCTGGGATGAGGAATTCCATTCTGCCTGAGTCCCGGCATACTTGGCACCAATCTCTCCAGTCACGGCAGCCAGTTGTCCCCGTCTGACTCCCCGCCCTGAGTCCGTAAAACCAGCGTATTCTGACCGTATTTGTGTTCTCCCTGGCAGGGCATTACGTGCGTGGCATTTGCATCTATGGGAACGGAGACTTGAAGTGGCTGATGGATTCACCCTGCCTGTTTGCTAACAAGTTTGAGCTCAACACTTACCCCCTCACCATAGAATGCCTGGAGCTGAGGCTTCGGGAGAGAACCCTGAACCAGAGCGAAACGGCCATCCAGCCGAGCTGGTACTTCTGACCTGGGCAGCTCGGCCGAGGGAGCCACAGCTGGTGGGAGGAGCCTGGCTCTGCAGGAGACTTTGGCCCTGGCAACAAAGGTTTCAAGCCTGCGGTAATGGCTCCAGGCCCAGGAACGTAATTAGACTCAGAATAATACCCATGGACCCTGTGAAGAGTGCTGACACTAACAGGATAGCTACGAGGAGCAATGCTGGCACTATGGCCGAGTCCTGATGCCCACCTCTGCATCAGGCTGTTGTCCCCACCAGGGATAAACTGAAGCGGCACCAGCCCATTGCACAAGATGTTCCTTGTAGGAATGTGTTCCAGATGAGAGAGAATGGCAGGTTGCACTACGTAGGGAAATGAGCACTAAGTTGCCTTGGACAAGGAGTCTCCAAGGACAGATCGGCAGCCTCTGCCTTGGTGTACACACCGCACACGCGCACGCGCACGCGCACACGCACACACACACACACACGGGCAGAGGTCCACTCCTTACAGAGCGCAGCCCTCGGTCCCGAGGTCTAACATGAGTGCATCACTCCGCCTGTGTTGCAAGCCGTGTCTGCCATGAAACCGCTAAGAACAAGCACCAGCTGCCGCCGCCGCTGTACAAAAAGGACCTCAGTGACACAGAGCAGTGCTCCGCTGGATGCCGCAAGGCTCAGATTTTCTCCCGGGCTTCCCAGGGAGAGACCTGAGAAGCCCCCCAGGATGGAAGAGCCCTGCCAGCGAGAGGAGTCAGGGACGTCTCAGAGTGACCAGCATCTCCGACTGCTCTCCCGTGTTACTTTCCTAGCAAAACGGGCACAGGTCCTACCCCACAAGGCCTCAGCACAGCAGCATGGTGCTCTCCGGGCAGCTCGATGCTGCCCGGGGCTGATAGTTTCCACTGCCGGGCAGTCAGCTGCCACCTGCCACTCATCCCCCCGCACTCCTGCAGCCCACATCCAGGACATACTTGCAGGCCTGGGTGCCTCCAGAAACTTGCTGAGACGAGGAGAGCAAGACAGAAGCTTTCACTCTACAACTCTTGGAAATAAGGCTGGGTGTGGCAGCAGGATCTTAGCTAGCTGGGAGGCTGAAACAGGAAGATGCCCTGAGTTTGCACCCCAGGGCCAGCCTCCACCCCCCAAATGACACAACTCTTGGGAATACTGTTAACATTGACAGTCTGCCATGGAACATCTCACACAGTGATTATACTGAACACAGTCCTCAGTGTGGTCATGTACTGTGATAGCAGACTGCATTATCACCAGTTGAGAGTTAAATCTGGTTATTCAGAAGGAGGTGTTTTCCAGCCTGCTGCACGCTAGCTGTCCAGCTGGCTTCCTGTTCCCCATTTCATTCAGACCTCACAGAGGTCTCACATGGTTCTCATGGTCACCCCCATTTTATAGATGAAGCAACCGAGGCTTAGAGAGATTAACATGCATCAGGGACCGAATTCTCTGTCTGAGGATCGGGAATCTCCTACTGGTCTTCTCAGTCCATTTCCTGAGGGAGAGTATCAAGAGAAGGTGAAAAAAAGCCATATTTAATATAACGGAGCAGGTAGATTTTAAGAATGGTTTCAGTGTTAATATTGAGAAAAAGTGCTGGCACCTCAGAAAAATGTGAAGTCTACTTTAGTAACCCTTTGGTCCCACGTCCCTAAATATTTATTTATTCTAATGAAAGCACATTGCCTGACTGATGAGAGGTCTGAGGAACACAATCTTATTTTTTCTGTACTTGTGCCTGTTGACTGTTAATCCTATTTAAAGGGAATGGCTCTAATGGAGAACTTTTTCCTGCTGCTGGAGAAAGTGGAATTGCACGGGTGCGGGAGGGTGGATGGGGAGAGTTCAGTCCCGGCCAGCCGCAAAGGCTCACGGTCGCTGTCTTTGTAACTGGTTATGTGATGACCGTGCCTGGGATGAGGCAGCGCTGTACACTGGATCTTTCTCATGCAGCATGAGAAATTGTTCTGGACAGAAGATGTTTACATATTTGTTGGCCGTCTCTGCGTCGCGGAAGTTGGGCCATGGGTGTCTGCCAGCCCACGGCAGGTTCTGAAACTACTGTAGCCATCACTGTTTTTGGTGATGTGCCCCCCCCTCCCTGCCCCAGAAATAAATTAATTCCTTGTTTCCCATTTTGGGGGGTATTGTGCATGGTTATTTGATGGTTGGTTAAAATCCACAAAAGAACAGGTTCCACATGACAATTCTCCTAGAATGATAGAAAGAAAAGAGGGCTTGGGGTGTAGCTCAGTGATTAGAGCATGTGCCAGCCTGCGTGAGGCTCTGGGTTTGATTCCCAGCACTGCAAAACAAAGACAAGACAGCGCATCCATACACGCACAGATGTCTAAAAATACCCGTTCACTGAGAATAATTAGACACTCCCTTCGTGGGTTGTTGGGGAGAGTAAAGGGGAATAACGGAGTAAGGTGGAAGCTCAGTGTTCAGCTGGAGCAGAACTGTTTTAAGGATTGAGGCTAGGAGAAGTCAGTATTTTCCTGACTTGTATTCATTCTTTTACCGCAAGATACACCTGTTAATCTTATCAAAGTTATCAAATGCTAAAGCTTTTGAGCAGCATTTCAGCTAGAAGTTTGTTAAATAAGCACGTCTCCAGTGGGCACATGGAAAATTACAAATATTAAGGAAAATAACATAACGGACTTCTTATACACCATTATTTTTGGTACTAGGAATCAAACCCAGGACCTTGCACTTGCCAAGCAGACACTGGTACCACCGAGCTATATCCTCAGCTCTACGCCATTTTTAAGTGAGAAACATTTTTTTTCTTTTTGTGAGACAGGGTCTCGCTATGTAGATCAGACTGGGCTTAAATTTACTACGTAGCCCACGCTGGCCTCAAACTTGCAGTGATCCTCCTGCCTCAGCTTCCCAGTGCTGAGAGCACAAGAGTGTGCTACCACACCTGGCTAAGTGAAAAATATCCTTAAATGAAACTTTTCAAACTATAAAAGCAATGGAAAGGTACAGGACGTAGGAGAAACGTGAAATAATACAGAATATGGAATTAAAAGGAGGGCTGGTGTACTGCTCAGCGGTAAGCACTTGCTTAGCACTCCTAAAAGGGGGAGGTGATGACCCCTGTCCCCCGAGGCAGTGACATGTGTGCCGTGTCTTCCTAAGTGAACTGGCAGCAAAGTGACACAGCACATGCATCGTATAGCAGTGCTGTGCGGGACGATTTCTACAGTGGTGAAAATGTTGCATCTGTGCTACCAACATGGTGAGCGCCCGCCCCGAGCGCCTGGAACGAGGCTGGTGGTTTTCAGGGCGATTGAGAAGTGTTGTTATCACTTAGCTTTAGTATTTCAGTAGTCACACATGGCTGTGGATACCAGACACCGGACCCTGGAGGTGAACGTCAGTTGAAATACACACTGGCATTTTTTCAAAATAAAATGAATACATAATAGAAATGAAATCTTTTTGGACCTGTTATTTTAGACTTGGACTCCCCCCACCTGCCGTACCAGGGCCTTCACACTGAGCGGCTTTCTTGGCCCTTTATTTTTTACTTTGAGATGGGCTTGTACCAGCAATTCTCTTGACTCAGCTTCCAAAGTGCTGAGATTCCAGGCACACATCACTGTGCCTGGCTATTTTAGACCTTTTAAAAATAAGCTTTTTATTTTAGAAGAGCTAGAAGAAAATGCAGAAGTAATATGGAGTTCCCCCTACTATTCATAGTACATTAGTACAGCACAGTAGTTAAAATGAATGATCCGGTGTTGACACAGTCCGTCACTAAACCCTTTTTACCTCGTAACCCTCAGTTCAGGGCCCACATCAGACTCAGTTGTCCTCATTTTCACAGGCGCCCGGTTTTGATGACCTGGACAATTTTGAGGAACACTGATCACATATTTTATACAATGTCCCCAATTTCATTTTGCCTGGTGTTTTTCTCAGTTCAGCTGGATTTGGGAAGGAAGACACCTGCAGTCGAGAGCCACTTTGGCTCATCGTCTCCAGGCTCCCTCTGTCACCTCCGCTCCGGGAAGGTGGACCTGCACCACCTGGCTATCACCCCATCTACTTGTCTTTCTGTCGTCTGTCTCCAGTTGTTCTAACTTAGCCATTCATCTCTTGCATCTGACCGAGTCCCTCTGACATTTTTCCGCTGTGTGGGGTTTTGCTCTTGGACACGGTTTTACTCTCTGACACTAAAAGACATCGCCAGAGTGTCTCTTGCTGTTCTCTTACCCTGTTTCAAGGATTTTGGGTCAGCTATAGCCGTGGCTTGAGAAGCACACGGTGACCAGAGGCTTAGATCCATGGCTGCAGGTCTGGGTCACCCCCCAGTGAGTCACGCAGACCTTATGTGCCAGCAAAGGAGCAGAGACCCTGAATGAGGGATTCAAGGAGGAGGCGTGGGACCCAGGACTTCAAGACCAGCTGCGAAGCAGCGGCTGGAGGCTTCCTGCTCAGTTCCCTCTGTGTGTGATCCCAGGATGCTCGGCAGAGCTCCAGGAAGCTGCTGCCTCCCCAAACGCACACGCAGAAATGTGAAACCTTCTAGGATGGACTGTAGAGATGTGTCACTTATGTGTCCTTCATTGACACAGTTTTTCTGCACAAGTCACATTACACTTACTGCCATGTACTTTATAGTGTATACGTGTGTGTGTGTGTGTGTGTGTGTGTGTGTGTGTCTGTGTGTGTGTGTGTACCAGGGGGACTTCTTTTTATGAACAGTTCTGTTAATTGAAAGGGAAGCAATGGATTTTGGTAGACATGCAGGCACGTTTTTACGTATTTTCATCATTTCTGATAGTTTTTCTGTATGTTCCACCTCTCAGTCTCTGGCACTTGCCTGTAAATAACAGTTTTGCTTCTTTCCCAATAGTTAGACATCCCTTGTTATCTTGTATTGATGGGGATTTGCAATGAAATTCCCATCAATGCACACTTCTCGTGTCTCCTATATTAAAGGGCATCATTTGTGTGTGTTAGAGATTTGACATAGGTATCTGGGGAATACACTTTCTTACTTTAAAAATCAGAATGCCAAAAAGATAATTAATTTGTAAAAAGTCCTAGGTGCTATCTCATTTTTGTTGGCTGATGGAATTATGGGTAACTTGACTTTCTAAAAATTATTTTTCTTTCCACATTTTCCTTCAAAAATGAAGAAAAGTGCTACTACTCTTTCTTTTAAACACCTGGAATTCTGTAGCATAGCATCTTTCTAGTGAGACTGGAGCAAGGATGCTGGGGGAGAAACCCTTGGATTTGGGGAGACTAAAGCCCAGCTCTGATGTCTCCTAATAAAAGTGCTCCCTCTCCTGGTCAGGATTGCCTAAGAATGAAAAGGTCCTGCGATGGTGAGAGCTGTCCCCTTGCGCTGGGTTCTGACCTTGGGCTCGACTGTCTGAGAGGCAGAGGGTGAAGCTGACCATGTTTGCCTTTCCATGGTGTTTTGGGTTTGTATGACTGGAGAGACCTGAGGCTGGGTCTCTTTTTAAAACGAAGAGGCTTGCTTACAGGTTAGACGCCTAAAGACAGTCAGCAGCTCCATATGGTGCCTCTGGTGAGGGCATCACAGAGGGGGAGGCCATGTGGGAAGACAGGATGCCAGAGAGAGAGACTGGGGACCAATCTCTTCCAAGGGCACTTCCTGAAATTGGTCTAAGGAGGTCTCCTATGGTTTCCACCAGGGCCCCGGGGGACCAAGTTTCCGACAGGGCTTAGAGAACAAAGCTCGGCTCCTGACAGTGGGCGGCACCTCCCAGCTCTGAAAGCAGCAGGCAGCCCTGGGGCAGGGTGCTGGGACTATCGGATGCCTGGGGAGGACAATCCCAAGGAAGAACAATCCAAGGAAGGAAGGTGAAATTCAGAAACTGGCATCCAGCATTAAGTGTCACACTGCAAAAGTGAGTCCCAGACATAATGCAAGGAAGAGCGGGGGCTGTTAGGAGAGATCATTAAAGAAGCATGAAATTAAAGTGAATTACCTCGGGTTCAGGCCAGTGACTGTCAGCCCAGTGCAAATGTAGGGCTTGTTTTTTAAACAGTTGTGTTTTGAAATCATTTGACCTAACCTTTTTTTTTTTTTTTTGTCTTTCTTTTTTTATTGGTACCAGGGATCAAACTGACGACCGCACACTTGCAAGGCAGGCGCTTATGCCTCTGAGCTAAATCCCCAGCCCCCTAAATCATTTTAGACTTGGAAAAAAGTGATGAATGCAATACAGAGTTCTCATGGATCCTCCAGCCCCTCCTGACATTTCTGTCTTACATAACTGAAGCTCAAAGGTGAAAACCAGTTCTGTGTTTAATTCTATTCTAGTCATGCATTGAGCTGAGGCGGAGACATTCACCTTTGCCTGGACAGACCTGGCGGGCAACGTGAGTCCCTTAGTATGGGGACCTCACCTGGACCAGACAGCAGCGGACTGACCTTAATCATCGTTCCCACTGAAAGGTGTGCTGTGCTGCTATGGCCTGAGTACCTGTGTCCCCCAAAAGTCATCCGTGAAATGAAACCCAACCACCAGTATGGTGCTGTGAGCAGCAGGGGCCCTCAGGAGGTGACAGGGAGGAGCGCCCTTTAAGAGTGCTTGGGGTGAACAAGGTGATGTGGTAGCATCTGCACAAGGCGGCCTGGGCCGCAGTTGGCCTTCCACCGCCCCCGACAAGCAAACTTCTTTTTTTTTTTTTTTTTTTTTTTATTTTGAAAGTATGCAACAGAACAAGTCAGAATAAAGCCAACTAAGATCGTACAATGAAATTGGTACAGAACTTCACAGCAGGTTACTGGGATAACAGTAATAGGTATCACAGTATATTTTGTTATCTTTATAATAGTTGTTCTTTCAATCACATATATCAAAATGAGATGAAATATAGAACACTATAGAACTTATCAAAACAGAATACTAAATAGAGCAGTACCATTAATCAGAAAAGAGCAAAACAGTAATAAAAATATTTGCCTTCAAAGAAATGGTAGAAAGAAGTCCCCCTTATTTGCTATGGTCAACCTCCCAGGAGATGCTCGGATTTCTGGTTCCCATTTGCTAATGGGCGGGGGAGGGGGGGATAGGGGAAGTGGGATATTTGACTCTAGGCCATGTAGCAGTAGGTTCACTATTGCTTAGCAGGGAGG